GTACAAAATTATTTGGTAACACTTTAATGCTTAATTTTAGAAGTACAAAATTATTTGGTAACACTTTAATGCTTAATTTTAGAAGTACAAAATTATTTGGTAACACTTTAATGCTTAATTTTAGAAGTACAAAATTATTTGGTAATATCTTTTGACAAATATTACTATCATTAAAAGAAGCGTAGAATTAATTCATTGGATAAAAATTTCACGTTGTCTATTTCTTGAAATGGCTTCCAACAAATAAAATTATTACCTAAATTTATTCATTATATTTTTATTATGAAACTTATGATGAATAATTTTCAGGAAGATTTGATTAATATATATCTGAAAGTTTAATTTTAAAATTCTCAATCATAATTAGGCAAATTTATTACTAAGTTTTATTGCAATAAAATCGTTACTATTAATTATATTTATAAAAAATTATTCATGAATATATTTAATTAAAAATGTGCTAGTATTAAACAATCGAAGATGTAAAACATCAATTTTTTTAATTTGCAAGATTTGTTAATTAATAGGTGATTGCAGTGATACAGCAATTCTTCATAGTCTAAGTAGGCCTATTAAATGAAATACACCTGCTAAACATGATGATCACATAATATGGATAATTAAAAACAAATGGAAAAAACTAAATGAAAATGCTGAAATGGTAGAATGAGAAAGAGATGGGTGATAGTAAAAGTGATAAAGCTGAACAAATATTCAGTTATTTTTCTCGCAAAATATTCCGGTCTGTTATTCCCTGCTCCGGCAAANATGGAAAAAACTAAATGAAAATGCTGAAATGGTAGAATGAGAAAGAGATGGGTGATAGTAAAAGTGATAAAGCTGAACAAATATTCAGTTATTTTTCTCGCAAAATATTCCGGTCTGTTATTCCCTGCTCCGGCAAACGGTTTATATTCCATAAGTGTATATATGTGTGCGTGTGTGCATGAATATTTGCATTGCTTATAGCAAACGTTGAATATTATTAGCTTTGTTATAGCAGGTAATAATTTATTAAATTTTATATTTAATCACTTACGCTAATAGCTTAATTAGTTTCCTAATTATAAAATTATTAAATTACTTAAGATTTGATATTGTTTAAGTATTTCTATTCACTTAATATTATTGATATTGTAAATTGATAATAAAAATACATAACTGACAAAGATGTATTTCTTAAATTACGAAATTAAAATAATACTTCGGAGAAGAAGGAAGGTGATAATAGGAGTTAAAGAAATTTTTGCACATCATTGATAGCAGTTCAACTTACTGGATGATATCGGATTAATTTGATCATTTTGTTCATATACATACATCTATTCATTATTCTTATTTTGAAATCCATGAAAGATAAGAGGAGCATTATCAATTCATGTTATCATTTATATTACTAATAGAATTCTTGAAGTTTTCACTGATAATGTTGATAGATTTTATCACGAAATGATAACATTATCATAAAAGATAGCATTTTAATAGCAAATATTTTTGTTTTCTTTATCAGGTTTCATTCTTTTTTAAGTAATTTAATTTGTCATTTTTGCTAATTGGAAGGCAATTAATTGTTTCTACCGAATGTCCTTCTTTCAAAGATTATTTTATTAATCACAATAATTATTCAATGCCAAATTATGCTGCTTAATTTTGTGTACAGATAAACGAAGGTAGAGAAGAGATGGAAAGAGATAATCGAACATCAATTCCATCAAAACTGGAAATAGATGAAAAACATGAACCGATGTTGAAGATATGTATGGAATTTATGAATAAGAAAAAGAAAGCAATTAAAGAATTTGTGATCATTTTGACTCTTATCATTATTATCATAATTCTTATAGTTGTTATCATATTTACACGATAACATTTTATGTGATATATATATATAACTATAATGTAAGTAAAATTATTGATAATCGATAATGTAGCAAGTTTAACTGCTTATAACGTAAATTACGAACTAACAAAAAACAATATTTTCTTTTTTGAAAAATATTTCATTCACTATATTTGCTGAAATATAAAATTTAAAATTATTCCAAATTCAAAATTAACCAAAAAAATATTTAAAAGATAAATATAAATGCAAATTTACAACAGATTAGAATTTGTTAATTAAATCTATTGTCTATAATTCAAATTAAATGCAAACAAATTTCCTTTTATCATTATGTTTTCAGTTTAGAACTTTCACTACCAATAATAATGAAGACAAATTCTCTCTTTTCAGTTAGATAAATATAAAGCTTTACGACTTCGAAATTCAATGAAACGATGAAAATGATTTATTTGTTAACATTTAATTAATTATTAAATAATTACTTCTCACTTATATTTTAACATTTCACTTAATTAATTACGATCAAATAATATTGAAAAATATTAGCATCATTAATTTAAAATGGTACAAGGCAGTCTTTTGTTTTATGTAATTTATGAAAAAATTATTATAAATATTTTGTTAAAATTTTAAAATTTCCATCTTATCCATTTATTTAAATCTAAAATTATTTTATCATATAGCTTCTACATCTTATCATTTCATTTCCATTCCTCTCTTTCTTAGTTAATAACTTTTTTCTTCTTATCTGTTAATTTCAAACTTTCTTTAACATTCTGCAATCATTTGATACCTTTTGCATGAGCTTTAGCCAATTTATTGATTAAAAAATTTAAATCAATCAATTAGCATAAACCGATATTATTTATATTTAACGATAAGTTAAACATCTGCTGTGGTAAAATTATAACTTATCAATTAACATGAATAAAATATCAGCATTTTTTTTTTGAAAATAATTTGAATATATTATTAGTACAATTAGTAATAATTATTGTACCATAAAAATAAATTTCGTTCTTCACCTCTTCAATCATTCACCTTTGACATAAACATACGTAAATTATAATCAATATGATATATTAGTGATAATTGTTACAATTAACATAAACAATGTAATTAGTAATTAGATTATATTTTATGATATGCTTAAGTTACAAGAAATAGTAAAAAATAGCAATGATCAAAGAATATATCAACTGTATTTTGATTTATGAAAAATTTATAAATCAATAAATATTAATTGTTTAATTATTTACCAAATTATGTGAAGTGCTATTTTAAATGAAAGAACGAAATAAAATGCAATTGCCAATATTTACTTTACTTCAATAATAATGTTGCAATTTCCAACGTACAGTTTGCATTCCACTATTGTTGCACGCATCTACTGCAACGATGAAATTGTTATTTTTGCAGTTAAAAAAGAAGCACAACTGAGAAGCAGCTGTTACGATGCATTTATTTTAATGAAAACATACGAAATATGAATTTAAAAAAAGAAAGAGAGGATGAATGAAGAAAATGAAATGTAATATTTCAATCAAAGATAATATCGGATAGTCGCAATGAACGTATCCAGTAAATCTTGATAATATTGCAGGAAAATAATGATTTAATTGATGAAAAGGAAAATCAACTACTCGCATACAAAAATAGAAATTGATAGTTAAAGATTAAAAACAAAGTTTGATGTGAATGGATAATCCAGATATCATCATATATTATCATTTCAACTTTGAAGTATGATAAGCAATAACATATCGTACAAATAGCCCTCATAGCGAAATTTAGCTTAATTCATAATTTTTATTAAATTAGTTCTTATGCGCCAACTTATTGGTGATATTTTAATGCATGTAAGTTTTTTAAAAAAAAGATAAAGATTGGTAATTTCTGCAGCAAGCTGACAGCTCTCGAAGATTATTAAATAAACAACCTAAAATGTTTCAGTTAAATCATAAAATTGTAAACAATGATTTTTTAAGCTTTATTATCATTTTTGCGTCTTATCGGCTGGTTGTAATTCATTTGTTTTCTTAGAAGCATTTTTGAATTGTGTAACATTTTAAAGAATGTAAGTTAGTTTGATGAAATTTACTCATTTTTTACCTGTATAATTATTTTAATTAGGATGATTGAATTATTTTAGTTCGAATGAACGGAAAATAATGCCACTTCGAAATGCTCTTTAATCAATTTTATCAAAATAGCAAGATAATATTAATTAATTAATTAATTAGTCAATATGGTGGCACAGAGATTTTGTAGATTTACATTTAAAAATTTTTGAAGGAAAATTTGAAAAGTAAAATGCAAACGGACTATTCAATGTATGGTATAAAATTAACGAAACACTTTTCATAAAACAATAACATTTTGGGGGAAAATTTTTGAAAATTAACAATCATTAAATATTTTCGAGGCAAAAATTTAGTGTGCAGATTTTTAAGTAAATTTTAGCTTAAATTTAGTTTTTGTTGAATTCAAATATTTACATCATCATCAACTTGCACTATGCTTCGAATTTTTGAAACGCTTGTTTACTTCACAGGTATGTAAACAATCGCTTTTTAGCTAATTTATTATTGTGTGTAAAAATTTTCACGGTATTAAAGTTTATTGAACTGTTGTTTCGTCTTGAAACGAATTTGCCATCATCTTAGTTTTATGCAAATCAAAGCTTAAGGGTCATCAATCTAGTCTTTCACAGGTTTCGTAATCCATAAAACTCATATTTACGAATGCTTTAAAGATATAATATAAACTTTAAAAATATAATATAAAGATATAATATAATATATAAAGATATAATATAAAGATACAATATAATTTTTAAATATAATTTCTTTAAAGGTATAATATCATCTATTTTCGAGAGAGGAGACAGAAATTTTAACCGAAGCATTAGAGAATAAATACTCCACAAAATCTTGATTGCAGACAAAACATCTAAAGCTGTTACAAATTGCACAATCTTTCGTTCGTCAGTTTGAGTTAGCTGATAATGATAATTATCATCCAAATACATCAAATTATAGAATGCAAAATTTAGTCTAATATGAAAATATCAAATTGTTCAATAATAATTTGAATGCTAGCTAAAATAGAATATAAATTAATTACAGTAATACTACAAATAGCAATATTGGAAACTATGGAAAGTTATCCAAATACTTTTGGTAGTAAATTTGTAACATTATTCCCATGGAGCAAAAAAGCAACAAATGTTTCCCGTCTTACCTTTGACATTATTAATGCATCAGAAAATGAGACAGCAATTGTTAATATAGAATATGATGATGATGGCTTTAAAAAGCTGGAAACAATGATGCAATTACCAAAGAAAGTATTGAATGTTAAACCAAATTCTTATATTACAGTTAGTATTTTCAGTTTATTTCGTAATTCTTTTAGCTTTAAAATAATCATAATTATTATCATTTCATCTTTCTATCATTAATTATTCAATTCCAATCGATTCTTTATTTAACTAAAAAATTTTATTTAATTCATACAATTGTTTCATAAAGTATTAAAGATTAGAAATATTTTCCATTGATAAATTGTAAAATTATTAATTTTTGACTAATCAATTATGATACCATAATGATTATTTAGCATAAATTTGATACGATAACAATAATGACACGATTATTTGAAGAGAAGAAAATTGTTATTCCTGTTCGTGCACGACGAATTTTCATTTCTTCCAACTCACCTATTTCCATCATTCAGTGTATTTTTATCACTAAGAAAATTGGTGATTGCTTTACAGGTAACAATTTATGAGTTAATGTTTTTTTTTGGAATAATTTAAATTTGATCGATATGGTATATCTTTTGATAACAAGCATTGCCATTTCTCATATTTTAGAGATAAAAATAGAAGGAAATTCTAAATTTTCTTAATTTATTGTTAACACTCTCAATACGATATCTGATAAGTTATGATAAGTTTTATGATAAGTTTTCTATTTTCTTTATTCTATTATTTCTTTCAGTTATACCGGTAACAATGGCCGGGAATCATTATTCATTTTCAATTGGATCATCGATATTTAACGGTATAGTGACAGCTTATTTCATCCCAACACATACCGATTCACATATTAATATTACAACTGTTACGAAGAATGGTTTGGAGCGCATCAGTAGAATCTCTCGGGTAAGAGCAAACTTTACCTTCAATTCCATTCTCCTTTTTGATCCTTGCAGAAATGATACATATTTATCATTGCAAAGTCAAAAAGATAAAGAAGTTTAAAACAATACATCTTAGACTTCTCTTGATAAAACTAACAAATGAAGTAAGATTCCGGAAAAATCGAATCGGATTCTGAAATAGTCGTATTAAAAATAAGTAATTAAAAATAATCACACTGGAAAAAGGTGATGGATACATTTTATCATCATATTATCACTTCAATCTTCCCGTTTTGCAATTTCTTTTTCTTCAGTTTAAGCAGGGATCAATGATTTATGCATACAACAATTCGATCAGCAATTCTTTTACAGTACACATATCGGCTTCATCTCCAATTATAATTCTGTTAGCAATGCGAACACATTTGACGAAAACTTCTTCTGAAACTTTTGCATGTACAATGCTTGTGGCATTACCAAATAAAGGTATCACACCTTTGATATCGATTAAATTTAAATTAACATGAATAAATTAATTAGAAATGAAGTAATTTCATATAATTAAGATAAATAATAAACTTTTGAAATGATTTTTTTCCTTCAAAACAAATCTTTTGTAACTGATATGAGATATTTATTTTGATAACCATAATGAATTAGTTATTTTAAACTTTTCCAATTTCAAATAAGTTTTCTACAACAGAAAGGAATTATCTAATTTTATATTATCTTTTCATAATTCATATTTAATAAATGATTATTTCAGTTTATTCCGAAATAGCACTTTGGGATGATTTTGATGTTCATTTTGCTCCTTTACAATCTTCTAAAAATTATCAAACACAACTTTTACTATCGGCACCATCGCAAAACTGTCAACCATTTACCGTTGCTACATTTCGACCTAACAAAACGAAACTAATTGATATTAAGCCGAACAATATCTCCAATGATATTGCTATAAAATGGAATTATCGTATAAGTGATGCAATTGTTGGCTATGCATCGAAGTTTACTTTCACCCTATATCATGCATAAACTTTTATTCGTGTCATATTTAACAATTTATTTGTTTCATCCCTAAATCGAACATTTTAGGATAATTTTCTTACATACATTCACAACTTACCTTCCTGAAATTCTTGCATTGTTTTTTGCATAATCATTTTATTTCATTATATTTTCATGAAATCATAATATTCAAAAAAGTTTCGTTTCCAAGTGTAACATTTTCGTGTGTTTCATTTTTCATCCAAAAATAATTAGCAAAGAAGACGGTTAAAAAGAAATTCTGAAATACCTTTATTATTCATATAAAATTTACTATACATTTTTGTTAGGAATTATTTACTTTGATAATTTCAGCAATTTAATTTTATAACTCTTTCATTTTGAATTTTTATAGTTATGATATTCAACTTGTTTATGTATAAATTATTTGTTAATTGATTATGAATGATAATTAATTAAATCTAATCGAAAATCAAAAAAGGAAAACTTTTCACTCACATAAAACGATGTAACAATTGGTGAGGATAATTTAAAGTAAATATAATAATTTTATCTTTCAGCAACACTCTCTTTCAATTACTTCGTTTTGAAACTTATCGAAATCTTTACTCATTTTTGGATATCGTACCAGCTTACTCACAATATCTCACCGGACGAATGTGCTTTCTATTTAAAAATGAAAAAGAAAATCTATTTGTTAGTATTTCATCCAACGTATATATTATTCTAAATAATATTTTGTCATAATTTTCTTGCCATTAATTGAAAATAAACTTTTAATTTTGATAGATTAGGAAAAATCATGATATAAAATAATTATTAGCAAAATGATTATTATTATTATTATTATTATTACTATTAGCAATTAAAAATTAACAAAAAAGGATGATATTTTACAGTAATTGCTAGTACACAGTTATCTTTATTATCGGTACATTAACAGTATTACATAAATTAAAGGTGATAACGATATCAAACTGATAAATTACTCAAATTATATATTGTTGATATTTTTTTTAAAAAGTACATTATACTATTTTACTTTATGATAATTTTACCCCCTATAATTATTAGCAAAAAATAAAAATAATTTTATAAAATAATAATTTTACTTCAATACATAATAATTTTACTTTCCCTATAATAATTTTACTTCAATATAACATTTGTGAAATATTTAGTTTAATACTAAATTTGCATAAATTGCTGTTTACACAATTACCAATAAATTTTAATTATTTAAGAAAATAATTTTTACATTTGATTAATAATATAGTACTTATATTTTTGATAAATTATTTTTATTTAAAATTTTAATAGTTAGCTCAATTTCATAAATTATATAATGAAAGTTCAGTTAGCTTAATTTTATAAATTATATAATAAAAATTCAGTTAACTAAATTTTATAAATTATATAATGAGAGTTCATTTGTTTCAGCTTTATGATATTTCATATCAATTGAATGCTTTGCTATTAGATGGAAAAGCAATAAATGCCGAATATATGCAACATTTTGACAATCCATTCCGTTCTATAACAATGCGTAAAATTAATACGAAAAATTTAACACGTGGATTACATTGTTTGGAATCAAAAGGGCGCTATTTACTTTATATATTTGGTGGAAGTGAGAAAAGTTACGGTTATACCTATGCATTTAATGGTAATTATAACTATTAAAAAATTATGCTAATTATTAGCATCATTAATTAGGCGATAGTTTTTCAAAATAAAAAGAAGCAAATAAAAATTTATTAAATTGTTGAAATTATTGAAGTAAAATAAACTTATGCATTTTAAATTATATGATTATTAATAGATGGATAGAATTGAAAAATTAAATAGTTAAATGCTTATCAGCTATTGCAGAATTTTATCATCATCACTAACTTATATTAACTATTCAGCTGTAGATTATTAATAGATGGATAGAATTGAGAAATATGAATGAACTTTGAAGTTCATTCTGTTTATGGACTAATTTAAAGTACAAAAAATTGAATAGTAAAATGCTTATCAGCTACTGCTAAATTTTACCACCACCAATTATATTAACTATTTAGTGAGCTGCAAAGAGCTGTAAAGAACAATAATATTTTTGTCAAAAAAATTTTAGCTTATCCGATTGAAATGTTAAAATGGATGATAAAAAGTAATCGAAGCATATATCATCACGAAACTTTCGGTGTCTCATTTATAACTCTATTTCCATGGTTGACAATTAATGATGCTAATGATAATTTCACTACTGCTTTAACTTTGGATATTCTTAATCCACATCCATATATGATTGCAAAAGTTAAAATTTGCTATTGTAATGAATCGAAAAACAATTCAATTGAAATGATATATAACATTAAACCATATACACATTATAAGGTAAATAATTTCCTCTTTTCTTTTGATAATAAAGTAAATATTTTAAATGAAATTTTCTTTTATTTACAGTTTAATTAAAAAAATTTTTTCATAATTAAAGTAAGAAAATTAAATTAATTAAATTTATCATAATTTGAATACTTTTAGGATTGTTTCAATGAGTGAAATTTTGTTAAATTATCAAAAGGAATAATTTTAGTTTATTACTGAAATTAATAAAATTTTATTTTTTCCCTCAGGTAGAAATGAATAAAACAATGATGACAAAGTTTTATAATGCGTACAATGTTGGCATTTATGAAAGTATTTATAATTCGCGAATTACTATAACATCCACTATCCCAATATCTGTCAATCAAAATTGCTTCTTTGATAACAGAATTGGTGATAGTTTTACAGGTATCATAGATTAATTATCAAACAATGTATAAGATAATTTTTTCATAATAATTCATTCATTGATGAAATCACAATGAAGCTTATCTTTTATAATGCAATTCTAAATTACCATCTTGTTGTATTAAAAATAAACATTTCAATTAAATTCATAATATCAAATTAATTTTTCAACACTTTTCTTTGGAGAATATCTTTGGAGTAATAGAGTATATCACTATGCATTAGTGGTCGCAATGAAAAATTTTTGCATTTATAATCTAAAATTAATATTGTTATTTCTACATTCGTTCTGTTATGTTACTTTGAGCAGTAATATTTCTTACTAAATAAATTTCCTTTATGAGCAAAGGAATTGAAAATGAACAAATGATTTTTGAATCAAGCAAAAAAGCATATTGCTTTTTAGCTTTGTTTAATATTGCTTCTTGTATGCTTTTATTAAAGCAAAGTTGAAAAGCTTACCTGTTTTACCTGTTTTATTTTCAATAAATATACAATAATTTTTAACATAAAATATCAATTTACTGCTTATGTTATCATTGTTTATATTAAAAAAATCATTTTGTAAATACCAAAAAAATTTTGATACTTTTTGATTTAAACTTTTGGTATTAAAATTTTGATATTATTTATTGAATGCAGAAAAGAATAAGCTTTGAAGAAAATATTTCAGTGTTACCATTAAAAATGGCTGGTCAGAGATATTCATTTTCGATACCCAAATCAGCGGCTAATAACAGTCATGCAATTATATATTTTTTACCAATAAATCAAACAACAAAAATATCGATCATAGCAAAAGCTAATACAAAGGAAGAATTTTACAATATTAAAGCAAAGGTAAATTTTTTTCAAAAAATTATTTCACAATTCTTTTATCGACAATTTTTATCGATTAGTGTTTGTTATCGTCGTGAATTTGAGGCGAATGTGAAAACTGAATGGATAACAATTTGAATAATATTGATATTATAAGTAGGGTACCATAAGTGCGTATTAAATGAGAAACTAATTATCGTTAGATAGCTTATTTATAATTAAATAAGATTTACTATAAATTTTCATTTGAATGATTTAGTTTTAGTGATCACTTTATACTGAAAAATTTTTTTTGATATTAAATTATTAATGATAAAATTAGTGTTATTAATTAAAAATTATCACTTAGTAAACTAATTGCTCATAAACGAAAGTATTCATTTAATTATGAGTGAAATTTTTCTGAAATTAAATGTTATCGTTAAAATAGCTAACAGTTACTTATGATAAAGCATATCCTTGCTGATATCGTACAGATAAGAAAATATCAGAATCAATTATTTATAACAAAACACATCCTTGCTGATATTGTATAGATAAGAAGATAACAGATATTGATGCAATCATTTATTAATTGCACAAAATTAATTAATTAATTCCCCCTTTTCTGTATAAGTAAATTAAGTTCACTCAATTAATAATTGAATAATTGCTTGAATTTCCTTCTATTTTTATTTAAATTTCACATGAACATTGATTTAGTCAAAAGATTAATGGCTGATAATGTGAAGATATCAGATTAATTTCAAATATTGATAATTTTAATTTTTTTAATGACAGAATTGAATATTTTTTTCTCTTATAAATTTTAGACAGAAAAGAATTCCTCAATTTTTGCATATTATGGATCCGGTGATGAATTATCGATGAATTTATTCGGTGATAATCCATTCCAAGTGATTATTGCTTTACAACAATTGCTAATAATTCATGATACTTCAAATACTAAACGTCGTATAGATTTTGGTTGTACAATGGCAGTACCTGTATCGCAAATTGGTCTTATTTATATTTATTTTTATAAACAATTTTTCTTTCGAATATTTTTGCCGAATAATTTCTATCAAAAACAAACAAACTGTCATTTTGATAGACATTCTTCAACATATTATCGGATATTATCGAAAAAGACTTAAGTTCTAAAATTTACATGAAATTTAAACAGTATCAAAGTAAAATAAAGAAAATATTTCTTTGTTGTAAATTTATTATTCTTTGAAATAATATTTTCCTTCAGTATCAACGATCATATTTTTCAATATCAGCAAAATTTTTTGCCTGCTAAATTTTGAAATTGAAATATTTTTAGTTTGCTCAATAGAAAAACCTGAAAATTGGTATGATATGCATTATCTATTTGTTGCACAACGTTATAATTATTCGGGTTTTTTCACGATGACACCATCTGATAGAAATTGTCCAACATATTATGCAGATTTTTTCCCAAGAAATGGATCAATGATTGAAAAGCAAAAACGATTAACATTTGAACCGCCAACTATGCAACATTATTTTCAACTATCTGCCGGAAATTTCTCCGATTTTTCAACAATTCGTTGCAAGTAATTTGTGCACTATTAATTATTTCTTCATTTCTTTCCTTAACTATTCCTTTCTTTACTGAAATTATTATAATCGATTATATAAATTGATTTATTTTGTTCAGCAATTAATATTCTATTTGCTTAGCAAATATTTAATTAACAATAACATGCACAATAATATTTAAGCTTTTCAAATATTGTTTTTAATTTTTTCATATTTTTTAAGTATTACGTTTTATTGATTAATTCAGGAATGATTATATTCAAATTTATGCTTTTGGATCGTCTAATTTGGTAGGTAATTATATCGATTTTATTCCATCCATTCTACAATATGTTACAGGAAGAAGCCATTTTGTTGCCTATCATTATCAAAATTGGGTTTTGGTAAGTAAAAATTATAATTTCAACTGAAATTTTATTTCGTCTAATTTCTTTAACCAACCAATATAGAAGCCAATTATGATCGCATTATGAAAGTTATGTAATTTATAAAGTTTAATAATTTTACTACGTGCTTACATTCATCTTTGGCATAATAAATACTTTTTTCTAATCATTGCAAAACTTTTTTTGTTATAATTGATTTAAATTTTAATTTAAAACATCAACTAGTATTAATATAAAGTTCGAGAGTTGCAAAAATCAAAATAGAAATTATAAAATTCTATCTCTATGAATTTATCATCACTTACGGTAAATTAGATTCCATTAATTCTGTTATGCGAGTAACCTCAAATAGCAAAAGCAGTTAATCAAATATCTGATTATCCGTGATTCTTATGATAAAATTATTCATTCCGATAAGAAAATTTTTCTCTAAATATGAGTTTTTCAGATATTCATGGATAAGAATGCTGTAAATGATATTGAAATGGATGGTAAATTTATTGCAGACAGTTATATATATGAAATATCAAGTCCAAATAATTCCGGTTACTTTGCACTACAAGCTATTCGTTCAACCGTACGGTTACATTATGTACAATCAACCGGATATTATGCTGTTCATATTCTGAGTGATACATTAAAAAATGGTTTTTATCAATATTTCGTCACCCTTAGCAGTAAGAATTTATCAAATTTAATAGGAAACATTACATTTTTGGATTTTCAACAATTTCAATACAATTTTATAAATTTTAATATCAAAAAAAATTATACGTATCAGTCTTTTAAAATGAAAAAGGAAATTTCTTTTTCCACGAATTTATAATTTGGAAAAAGGAAATAATTTAAGATTATTTCCAGCGATTCCGGAAATGATCGAAAGAAAAGAGCAAATAATACATGCAAATACAACGATTCAGGATATATCGAAGGAAAAACAAAAATTGGAATTATTTACAAAATTAACTACAACTACTTATTCCGAAAATTTATCAACCCCAAAATCATTTACAGTTATTGAAAGAAACAACGATATCATAAATTTCGATGATCAGTTTATTGTAAATACAAACGGTTAGTGAAAAGGAATATTGTCATGGAAGTATTGAAATTTTGAATTTAATCTTTTTGCTAAATTAAAGTCTTATTACTTTTACAAATCTATTTCAATATAAGTTGGATAGCAATAATTTATCAGTCTTGATCAGCTAAAAATTGAGTTAAAATTTAAATTCATTCCATTTTATAAAAACATTTCATTCAATGTTTCGTTTTGTTTTTTTATAAATTTGAAACCAAAATTTATCAATTTTTGAATGGATGGATGAAAATTAAATTTGTTTGATAATTCAAAGAATTGAATGCTTAATTTCGACTTAAGCTTTTTAGGATTAACTAAGTGTCTACAAAATGTAATATCTTACAAGGCTATTTATCAGTTTTTATATCATAATAAACAAGATAAGCTTTGATAAATCTTCTCCTCTCTGTAGTTTTTAATTCATAACCAAAAAATCCAACTGTTTTTGGTAACTATATTTAGGTGTGCAAAGGAGAAATATTTTATATTATGGAAGTTGTACCAGTCTGATAACAACTATTTCCATTATAATTGTGAAACTACAACTTATTGTAAATTGATATGATAGAAATGAATTACAGTGTTGATAATGTTATTGCAAGAAAAATTTTCAATTAAAATTTATATTTTGTTTAAAGTGACATATGTGAGTGAAATGTCGGAATTTCTTCGGGAAACTAAATAATAAAATAAAGAAGCGAAAAATTTCAACCCAACCTAAATTATTATTATAAGAATTTCTTTTGGCTTTCTTATCTTAATTTCTGACTAATAATTTCTAATTTTCGATGGTAATATTGCACTCTTGAGAAGTATTCGAACATTTTTTCCATATTTAAACCGTCAATGTATTAAAATCATTAGTGACAGTTTACTGATTGAAACTCGAGAAGAAGAAAGGAAAATTAACAGAGATGATTAAAAATAAAGTTAAAAGATTGAAACAATTTGGTTAAGTATTCTAATTAGCTTTTAAAATTTCAGCTTTTTTAATTTTACTTTGAAGTATTATTTTTGAAAAATTAATTACAGTAGTATTTGACAAATGTAAAGATAGCAAAAAAAATTATGCAAAATTAATGGAAAGAAGAATGATAAAATTGGAAGGATTAAGAGATCATTGTAATTTTCAAACAAGAAAATCATTGCTGTTAAATGTTGATACGCCTGATATGATCGATGATTTTGGATGATCAATAGCTGAAGACTTCTCGTAATTGCACTCTTTTCTTCCATTATACTACAATGGAAAGAGATCTAATTAATAATTATTAATGAAAATTAAAAAATATGGTAATGTTAAAATTTAACATAAAGTCTTAAGAGAGCAATGTTAAAATTTGTCGTAAAGTCTTAAGATAGTAAATGCAAAGTTAAAATTATTACTTTATTTTTTGCTATAATTCAATTATTAACTTTAAAGGATATTTATATTCGAACTAATTAACTAATAAATAATAAATACCAGTATATCGTCGCCGTATTTACTATAACAAATAGATCTTGGTCGTAGAGAATTTGATGATCTCTGATTACAGTTTTGATCGAAACTGTTAAGATTGTAGTATCCATTGTTATCAGCAGCAATAAAACCAAAATTAAGATCATTTGGTTGACAAATTGTTACGAGATTATTCATTGATGAATATTTTGAATTTTGATGTTGCATATGTTCCGCTGCCCTAGTAGATGATGTCTGAAAATTTTCACTAAAAAATTAAAAATATGACATCATTCGAAAATAATTATTCCAAGAGAAAACTACCTTAAAATTTTTTTAAATATGTCGTAATTATTCCTGAATTATATTATGCTTATATTATAATTAATTAATGCTATAAATAATTAATGCTATAAAAAATTTCCTGTAAAAATTTGAGACAAATTGAATTTGTTAAAATATTATAATTTGCCAATTACAAGATTGTATTTACTTTTCCGGATATCCTTTGTTGCTGCTGCTTCTGTTGCTTTTGTCGTTGTTGCTGCTGTCGTTGATGGTAAGTATTACTATCTTCTCTATCACAACTATCACCAACATCAGCATCATCATCAATATGATTATGTATCCGAAGCAAAATTTTACTTTTTGGATCAAATGAGACTAACGATTTTAAATTATTGTTTGGCGAAGTTATATGAGCATTATTTGTTCGAAGACTGTTTGTCAGATTTATCTGTAAATTGAAATTTAAATTGTTGATAAAATTTTGAAAGAATATACGAATGAGTACGTAAATAAAAATGAATACTTTCAATGATTTATAGCAATGATATGCATTATCCTTAGTGATATGATATAACGAACGATTTAACGAACTTCTTCACGAGACAAAATTCGCCTTACTCCTTCGGTTGTTGGCATTTTAAAATTTTTCAAACTTCCACTACGATGTACATATCTTGAACATGGCATTTTTCCTACTGTTATTTGTGACCTGTTTGATGTGCGAATTGAATTTGTAAAACCTGAAATATTATGCTTGTGAGAAGGTGTGAGAATTTCTCGAAATTCTTACCTGATTAATTATCAAATGATCAATACTATTAGTAATATTATTCAATGTGAATATTAAATCCTTTCTAATTAAGCATTTCTAATTTATATCTTCTATGGTTTATGCAAATTATCAATGGTTTTAGCATATCATAAAGCTCCTCTTAAATTAATACCATTATTTATATATTCGTTACTTTGATCAATACGAGCTTGTCCTATTTTTCGATATTCATTTGTTAAATCAGTCATTGAATGTGAACGTTTCATAACAAATGGCCTCTGAAATGTTTAAAATTTACGAAAAAATATACGAAAATTATTTTCAGCTGAAAAGTAATTTGATAATTTATTTTAATTAAAAAGAATTCCTATTTAAGGTTCTCACAATTCTCTTTTTTTAATTCATTAATTGAAGGAAAAGCACTAATTGATCACGTGACTAATTAAACAAAAATTAAATTTGCAAAAAACATTTAATGTTTTTTGCAAATTAAACGTTCATCATATTTTGAGTATGAATTAATGAACCTGAAAATTATTTGAATTTTGATAAGCTGTGATTGTTTCTCTGCAACCTTTTCGTGCAGATTTGTTAGCAGAATGCCTTTTATAGCCATTTTCAGGCCTAACATATTGTTCATTAACTCTTTGATCGGTCAGATTAATTCTTCCCTGACTGCAACATTTTTTAAATCAATAATCACTATAATGTTAATCAAGTTTAAATTATATCCTCACAATCAATTACTTATCGACTAACTAATAATTCAAATTATCTATTGCGGAAATAGTAAAAATTCAACTTTATTTAGGAGAACATCTAAAAATTTCCGTTTTTTTTTTGAATGTATCATTGGTTAGCAAATTTCATTAGCTTACTTCTGCAATTAGCGCACCACCTAAGAAAAGCTTTCTTTAAAAATTGCTAATTAGTTGAAAGGTAATCTTTGTAACCAATTATTGTTTAGCACTATTCAATAATACTTATTAAACTCGTTATTGAATTGAAATATTATTTTGCTACATTTGATCATGATTGAAATTAATTCACTTACTTAAATTCTTTCCCATTAGTCATCATATGATTCATGAAGTAGTCAGTGCAAAGTTTTCCATCACCGATCATATTGTTAATTTGTTTTTCAAACCTAATATTATTTAATTAATTTATTAATTCACTAAAATAAAACAACCAGTACCATTTTTTTTTTCATATTCCTACAACAAAAGTAATAAATCTCTCTAAAACTTCTCAAATTTCTCATTACGCAAAAATTTTTTTAACATTAATTATGCTAATTTATAAATTAAATGAATCAATGAAAAAATTGAATAAATAATGAAACAAAATAAAATATATTAATTATATAAATAATGCAAAAAAGTTTCACAAATATAATTGCTTTAATAAAAAGAGAAAAATTATAGCGAAGATTTAACAAACCTTCTATTCAAATTTCGTTTTGAAAAAAGAATAATCGACATAATGATGGATAGATTAGCCATAAAAATATGTAAAAGTGCTTGAGCACCTTCAATATGATAATAAGGTACGATACATGATAATTGTGTCCAATGAAAATTTGTCAAATTATAGTATGATTTGCAAGATGGCGTGTATCGGAGAAAAAAGCTATAAATTAATGATATAATTAAACAAAAAGAAAAAGAGAAAAAACTTTCTTCATCCTAATTGAATAGTTATCATGATGAGATATATTAAACCATAAATTATGTACAATAATATTAGAAAGAAACAAAATATTAAATACTTTAATTATATCATATAAATAATTACGTGTAAAATTTAAAACTTAAAATTTTAATTTTTTGCTTCTTTCGATATTATACATCAATAAAGCAAATGAAATTTCTCAATTTTTTGATTTTCGTTTATTTAATTTTTCTTTTTTAATTAATATTTATAATTGTATATTTACCTCCGACAAAATTTCAGCATTTTCCTCTTTTTTTCATTTCCAATGAATTTTAACTGCTCAAATTTTAATTCAACCTTTTTTATTTAATTTTCTTTTTTTGAAATAGCTTATTTATATATGAAAGTTTATATTTTATATAAATAGCTTATTTATATATAAAACTTATATTTTATACAAATAACTTATTTATATATAAAACCTACATTTTATAGAAATAGCTTATAGCTTATTTAATAATAATTTAATTTCACCAGACTAACATGAAACAATGCATTTCGTATAATAAAATCTACAAGTTGTTGCATTTTATATATATTCAATTTCGTGCTAGTATGGTGAAATTGCATCATTATTAAAAAATTGCAATATATCGATTGCAATATATCGTTTGTATATCGATTGATGAAATTTTAGGATAAACCATTACCGGTTATCATGTGTACGAAATTTTCACATCCAATTTATCAATTATTATCTGTGGACAATTGAAGCATATATAATTTGCTATTACATCACTCTAATATAATGTATCAAATATTTACCTGTAAGAATAGGGAAATCCAGCACTAAGTATCGGTACATCACGACTAATAGTAAATAATTCATTATACCATAAAATAAGAGCAATATTATACAGTATGGAAGTGAAATTGAGTAATATAAAAATTACTAATAATCGTTTTAACCAATGAACAGCTGCTATTAATCCACAAATACATGAAAAAATCTGAAATTAATTTAGCGAATTTATTATTTCTTTTAAAAACAATTTAAGAATTTTGATTTAAAATTAAAATAAAATCAATATTTTATAATATAGCAAAAAAATAAATAAATATCTTTTCTTTTGTTTTATTGGAAAATTGTGTGCTAAATGTAATTGATCGCATATTTTCGACGATCAGCAAAAAATTGAATTTCATTTTCATTTTTCCACATTTTTCGACATTTTTTTCAACGATGCAAATCAAAAATTATCAATCAAAAATTTCAAATCTTTCCGTAGTTCTGATCTTTTTTTTGCTTTTGATATTGGCGTTATTTTTGTTTTAAATTAGCAAACGCTCGATTGATCAATTAAAATTTATGTAATAGTTTCGAAAAAAATAAAGTACAGTTAAAAATGATTTACTTGAAATGAATTAAAAATAATCGGTATCCATAATCTACCGATTGAATCGAAAATTTGTCGTATAATTGTAAGTAAGAGCCAAAATGAAACGACAAATAGATGCCAAGCTTGTGAACTTTGACCGCAATACATTAATAATTTTAGCTAATATATCGCATGTAATACAATAATAATGTATGCATATCCTAAAATGTGCTTTATCGTAATTTAAACGAGCAACTTTATTGAAGTATGTTTAATTAATTGAGATAATTGGAATGGATTGAATTAAAAATAAAACAAAATTAGAAATGAATGTCAGAAATTAACGAAAAGGAAAAATACGATCAAATAAATTTGTAAACAATTCGCTTCAAATAGCGGTCTTTTTTATTCATTCAAATTTTGAATTAAAATTCACCTAAAAAATTGTTAGAGAAGAGAATGAAATAAGTGATCGATGAAATGGACATTTTAATCGAATTTTTTAGGGACAAACAGCTTTCTCGGCTAATTGATGTTTTCTTTTTCTTTTTAATCGATCGTAAAATATTTTTGTTTGAAATTATTTAATTCATATTTTAATGTATTGAAAATTTTAGATTGCATAAGAAGAAAAGAAAGAAAAATATCATTGTAAAAGAAGAATGTTGAAAAGGAAAAAATTAAATAATTTTTGAATAATCTTAAATACATATATAAGTCTATTGAAGGCCATTGAAGAATATATAAGTCTATTACAACATATATATAAGTAAGATATAAAGGTCTAATGAAGAAAAATAAAAGAATTCTGATTAGGAAATTTCAAAATTTTATGCAAATATAAAATTGTAAAATTAAAAGTAACATTCAATAATAAATAATGAAAGGTAAAACAATTTTAATTAAATATTTGGTTATAGTTGAAAAAATTTAGGTAACAAAATAATAAAAAATAAGTGAGTATTAAAAAATTAAAATTATAATTAATTGAAATAATATTAATATAATTTAAAATTCTAATTATTTGTTGTTTGGAATGAATTAGAATATCTCATTGATCAATCAATGAGATCAATGATCAATCAATCAATGATCAATCAATGATAATGCAATTAGAATCAGTAATGTTACATATCATCAATGAAAAATTTGAGAACAATTTAAAGTATAATTTAATTTGAGAAAAATTTTAAATACAATTTTATTGAAACTTAAAATTGATTACACATTTCTTAGCAATTGTAGTAAAATAATGATTCCTTTATTATTTTACAACTTTTCATTCATAAATACTAAAGTAAAATTTCCGAAAAATTAATTTCAAATTAATTAGAAGCAAAAAGAAAAATTTTTGCAACTCTTTTTATTATAATAGTTTTATGAGAAATTTCGGTACTGTTTTAGTAACGTTCGATAAAATGATTTAATTGATTAATAAAATTCATTTCGAACTCCTAAAGTACTCTATCCGTTGCATTTAATTATTTTAATTTTATTTTTCAAAAAATAAAAATCGATAAATAAATAATGTTGTTTATTTACAAATGTTTTAGATGGATGAAAGGAGGAGAAAGTAAATAATGTATGAATAAATAAAAATGAGGAAAAGAAATGTAATTTCAAGTTTTAATGGATCATAAATCGGAACATTGAATATTTCATTAAGACCTTGAAATGTACTGATGGCGTAATGTTCATTTTAGAATATTGTACTAATTGTAGATCTTGATTTTTAAATAAATTTAAAAAGATAAATTGATAAACAACAAAAAAAAAAATGATGTGAAATTGTTCAATATATTAGGATTGATGAAATACATTGATAATATGTAAATGTTTATGATTAGTAAATATATATGCACATAACCTGAATTCTTTAACATATATGATTCAGTCAATCGTATTAAATCAAGTTTTTACGCATTCCAGAATAACGTATTTTGAGAAATTCAATAAGTAACATATGAAATAACATATTTTGAGAAATTCAATAAGTAACATATGAAATAACATATAACATATGAGCATATGAAACATACGAAAAAATCTCATTATGTAAAATTTGTCAATTTTTGGATGGTTGACACCTGCTAAATCAATCTATGACCTTATTTCAAGAAATTGATCAAATACCGAAAAATTGCTTCCAGAAAGTTCGGATTTTAAAATATATTTTTTAGGAATTAGAATTTAATTCGAAAACTAAAAAGAAAGAATTTAACAAAAATTTACATGGTAGAAAAGTATTGATAACTAATGAGCATTGTCAATTCCTAACTCATAACACAGACTAGATAACTCAGATTTTCGATTAACTGACTTTCAATTCTTAAAGTGATATTTTACAATTAGATAATTTTAGTATCTCCTTAAGATGATTTAACTAAAGAAAAATTTCTTAGACTTTTATTTCTTCATTTAAAAATGTTCAACATTTTAAACTTGAGGAATAGAAAAATTTTAGACGTTGAATTTTCATCAGAGAGAAAGATAAATATTTTTTTTGCAGTTTAATTAAAATGCAAAAAGTTCATATGACATTTTAAATTTGCAAATTGATCATCAAAACTTCATATTCAATAAATAACAAATTCTATCGTCAACTTAATATTGAATTTCAAAATGCGATATTTTCTCAATGGATAAAATTAATGCTACGAAAAAGAAACTATCAGGATGAAATTTTTTTAGTTTAAAATCTTACAAAAATTTAAACCCTCCGAAACTTTCACACAAACCATATACACTGAAGTTATAATATTGAAAAATATCGAAATTCAATAATATTGAACTTGAAAGAATTAGCGTAATTAAATTCCAATATGTGGAAAAAATTCATCAATTCCAAATTTCATTTATTATCAGTCAGTAAACAGCCGATGATATTATCAAACAAAAGATTTGAGGTCAAATTATTGAAAAAATTGTAGATATTACAGAATATACGATAATCTTCAATCTCTTCTATTTCATTTATAATATTGGTAAAACTGAATAATTTAATTTAAATTAAATGTAAACAAAAAGAAAAAAGAAAATATGAAAAAATATTTAATATCGATTAATTTGCTTTTTTATTATTATTATCGA